TATTAGCATATTTGATAAATTTTTTCCGAGAAGTGGACCAGGGACCGATCTATTCCAAAAAATCGTATTTATGGTCCGATTTGCTTAAAATTCGGTACGTAAGTAGTTTTTTAGCATATATTAGGATATATGGTCAATTTTTTCCGAGAAGTGGACCAGGGACTGATCTATTCGAAAAAATCGTGTTTACGGTCCGATTTGCTTAAAATTCGGTACGTAAGTAGTTTTTTAGCATATATTAGGATATATGGTCCATTTTTTTCCGAGAAGTGGACCAGGGACCGATCTGTTCGAAAAAATTGTATTTATGGTCCGATTTGCTTAAAATTCGGTGCGTAGGTAGCTTTTTGCCTGGATAAGCTTATAGATTCCTGTTTTCCAATTTTCATGCAATTTCGAATATAAATAGCTTTAAGTAACGACCATATCAAGGGGCGAATTCGTCACTAGGCAAGATTTTTTTGCCCCAATCAGAAACAACGGATACTGTCAAAATATAACTATAATATATAATATATCTCAACTAATATATATTTAGAAAGCCGTTTGTTAGTTTTCGCAAGGCTCGAGAGCGGCTGAACCGATTTTTTTGAAACTGCCACCTGCCGCACGTGTCCCAAGGAGTGTTTTAGGCTGAAAAAAATTTATATGTAAAGGGGGCGTGGCACTTCCCATACAAACCGAATTTCTCATGCTACATATCTCTGAGAGTGTGCATGGTAGAGTTTTGGAAATTGGTATGGAGATATACGAAATCAATTGCATACCCTTGGAGAAAAATTTTAGCTATAGTAAAAAGGGGTGTGACATCTCCCATACAAACCGATTTTTTCATACTGCTTATCTCTGGAAATTTTTTGGTAGAGTTCTAGAGTTTTGTATGGAGAAAACGAAATAAATCGCATACTCTTGGAGAAAAATTGGAACTATTGGAAAAGGGGGCGTGGAATTTTCCATACAAACCGAATTTTTCATACTGCCTATCTTTGGAAGTGTTTATGGTAGAGTTCTGTAACTTGGTATGGAGATATACAAAATCAATCGCATACTCATGAAGAAAGAGGGCAGCTGTTGGAAAGGGGGGCGTGGCACTTCCCATATAAATCGAATTTTTATACTGCATATCTCTGAAAGTATTCATGGTACAGTACCGGAACTTCGTATGGAGATATGTATATAGTTGAAATCAAGCCCATACTCATGGAGAAAATTTTGGCTATTTGAAAAGGGGTGTGAGGCCTACAAACGTACCGACCTTTAGCTATCTTTGAATGAATTTTTTTATTCTTCTGTAGGTGTGTTTGTGAGTGAAATCCTCCTAAATGGTTGTACGGATTTTAACGAAACTTTTTGTGTATTTGAGTGGGTCTCTGGATGGTTTAGTTTCACAATTTAATCCGACAGTTGGCGCTGTAGTTGAGTTATTACTAAAAATCTTATTTATGATCCGATTTGGCTAATGTTTTAAATATGTATGCAATACTATTGCAAAAACGTGCTGCCAAGTGGTGCTGAAGTCGAGCTATTACTAAAAATAGCCAAGTGAGAAAAGGGGCCTTGAAGGTCAGATTAAATCGACCTGTTGCACCATTGAGTATATCGAACGCTCCTGCGTTGCAATTGGCCCAATGGATGTGATTTTCCAATATTATTATGCGTTCAAACTTTTAAGGTATTTCGTCTGAAATAAGTAGATGTATATTGCATTTCTGCAGAACAATGATTCGCACCCATTTTGAAATTGCCACCTACTATACTGTAAAGCTTCTAGGACATTCACTACAGAACCGGGTCATTGTTGCCGCCAGGGAGCGAAGAGGAAAAAATTTATTTCGCTTTGCGAATAACCGTGCTATGAAATGCCGCACAACTGGAGAATTTCAAGAACGGATATAACAATTTCCTTAGGTTATTTAAAGCGGCAAATGACCACCAAGCCTTAATCTTAGCAGACAAATGTGCCAATGAAAATCGTAAACGTGAATTGTTGGTGAAAATGTTGGACCAAAAAGTTTCAATAAAATATATAATCATTTTGGGCGGGACGAAGTTCGCCGGATCTGCTAGTGTACTTATAAAACGTATATCTGGCAAACAAAATGACAAATTTTGGCTAATATTTTTTTGCCTGTGGAGATGCCACGTTGGGTAGGGTTGTGTAACCAAGTAATTGTTAGCAAAAAAACCGACTTCAACTCTCATATAAAATATATATATATATTAGGGCTGTGCGATTATTCGATTACTCGAGCAAGTTGGTTAATCAATTATTTGGTTAATCAATTACTCGAGTAATCAAGATTTTGATTACTCAAAACGATGATTAATCGAGTTACTTGAAATATGATTGCTCAAAAAAAAATAATGTTGCTCGTAATAGAGTTTGCTTTGGAAAATGCTTATTTTCTTTTTTACATTTTGTGTATGAAAAAAATTTTTGAAAACAGAAACGTTGTCAAGGAACTTTAACTAATTTATACATATGTAAAGAGTTGAAATGTTGGTTACTCATTTTACTCGAAATGTTGATTAATCATAAAGCATTTTACTCAAATATTTTTGTTTTTGGTTAATCAAAAATCTTGATAACTCGAGTAACTGAACTTTTGAGTAATCATAATTTCCAATTAATCGAATAATTGAGTTATTTACTTTATGATTAATTAAAATTTTGAGTAATCAATTAATCGCACAGCCCTAAAATATATATATATATATATATATATATATATATATATATATCTCATGATCCACTGTCGGATCTTAACCAGATTAGTATGGGACCACCTCTGAGACACTACCTTTCCTTATCGAAATCGGTTGACGTGGTCCAAATTTTGCGGTAAGATACATAAAAATAAAAAATAAAAATAAAATAAAAATAAAATAAAATAAAAAAATATTCCGACGAACTGAGAGCTTGTCAGATTTATCAACTTCGATAAAACATATTATTTCTCAAGCTATATAACCGAGTCATACAAGTTCCCACCTCCCCTTGATCTACGTCAAAGAGAACATAATCCTTTTAATAAGATTTTCTTTTTGTTTTCCGTGCTTTAAAAACAGTTATTTTGTTCTCTTGTCGGGAAACATTTTTTTCATAGGAATATATGTACACTGGATCCTTTGCTAAAAACTTCTGTGAGAAAATTGTCTTTTGCGATTTAAAGTCAATGAATAAGATCCTTTAATAGGTATTTTCAGCAGAATTGTTCAACATATAGCTATAAAGAGAATCGATGCTCAAATAATTAAAAAGCTATAGGTCTGACCTTTAATTAGATAAGAATTACGTAGCTATAGAATGTTATTTGTCAAAGATCTGTTGAAAACCCTAGATGCATTGCTAGTTTTTTCTACTTTTTCTTATACAAGTGTAATTATTAGTTTTTGTCATAAAACGGTTTTATATGATTAAGTTCCGTGTTTTCGTTTATTACCTAACAGAAAAACCCACCAAAATAATTTTAAGCGGTTGTTTGGTTTTGTGATAGTTGTCAAAATTAGCACTCAGCGAAATAGAGATAAAATGGAATGTGAAAAATTAGACCGTCATGCTCACAAATCAAATAAGAATCAAATCTAGAGTTCACTCTTTGGTGCGAAACTGTGTGCGTTTGAGCGAAAGTGCGAAAATCGGCAGTTTTTTACAACAAACATATGGCACCGTTTTGGCGTCGTTTCGCACAAACGCACAGCAAAGCACAAAACAAAAACTAATTTTTGCCTTTCGCATTTTCGCATCAAAGAGTGAACTCTACTAATCCAGCTACACTGACCACAGTATTTTTGCGAGGAACAACTTTCCCCAAAAATACTGTTCTTTCACATTCGCAACATCCCTAGTACATACATATCGATGGCTGAGTGGAAGATCGACCTACCTCGGCAGCCAGTTCAAAAACGATCTATATCAGAAAACTTTTCAAGAACGCCCTACTTCATAATTTGATTGAAAAACGCCCTATTTCAGAATTTTATTGAAAAACACCCTATCTGAGAATTTGGTTGAATATCGCCCTATCTTAGAATTCAGTTTAAAAACGCCCTATCTCAAACGGTAATACATTGAAAATTAGCTGAGATAGGGCGTTTTTGAATCGGCAGCCGAGATAGGGCGTTCTTCAATCAAATTCTCGGATAGGGCATTTTTCAATCAAATTCTGAAGTAGGGTGTTCTTGAAAAGTTTTCTGAGATAGAGCGTTATTGAAAAATTTTCTGAGATAGGGCGTTTTCGAACTGGATGCTGAGATGTGTCGATCTTCCACTCAGCCATCAATATATACTTAGCGTACGTTATAAATACAGTTAAAGGTTAGTTTTAGTGTGCCACATAACGCCAGGTGTAAATAGATTTATTTAATAAGTACATAGTTTTATTCCATTGTAAATAGTTCCTTTAATGTAAATACATAGATTTAAAAGTTGATGAGTATTTTTGATCCTTAATTTGTTCATTTCAATTAGTATTTACCTTTACTTAGTTTCGACTGCTGACTTTAATTTTCGTTGCAGTCGCTGAACCGTTCGCCAAAAACGATTTCCTCTGCTTCAATGCTCACCAGAGACGATTATGAGCCCACCATTTCAACATTTAAGGATATTTCCCGTGAGGCCTGCATTGAAGGACTTACCATTTCATCATTTAACAAATGAGAAATGAGTAAGACTTTTGAAACTAGACGCAATCGGGATTTTACGGAAAGGTAATGTAGACTGGTATAATTTGGATTTATTTTACTCTAATATCATACTCCAAACAGATTTTTCAAAAACCGGGCATCACTTTTCATTCCCTATGTATGGACAACCAGAAAAATGTACAGCGTGGAATTGCGAAATCGCTACGTCGTACTACATATCAAACAGATGCCACCCTTGACGTTGTGCGTCGTGGATATTGGTTTTGCTCAATAGGCCGACTGTTACCTACATTGCCTTCGCAATTTCCGCACCGTTTGTCGCAGTGGACCTGTACAATATTTCCTGGATAGTATATAAAACTACGTGTTGATTACTAAATTGGTATTGGCGGCTGCCGCTACAAAAATGTATAAATTTTTATTTTAATAACTAATTGTTAAATTTGTTGAATAGTCCTACCAAATCTTTAATACAACGCTTTCCACAAGAATATAAAAATTTATTGTAATAACTGATTGTAAAATTTGCTGAGTAGTCATACTAAAGTAGTGATTCAATATCAATATTAAGGAATCTTTAATACAACGTTCTCCACAATATTGAATAAGTTGAGAAACAAATCGTAAATCATAAGAGTTAATAAACTTTCAAACTAAAAAGGATCTTTTATTTCTAAGGATTTATAGGAAAAAGGTAACCAAGAGCTTTAATAACAGTAACCTTATTATAACCGCTGGAATAACACCTAAAGCCGGTTGAGGTAACCAAGACTCTAACCTGCATATAATTCTGGATAACACCTTAAACCACCTGTAGTTACAAACGAGTAACGAAGCAGGTAACCGCTGAAATCTACAGCGCTAACACAGAGGTAACAACAAAAGTAACCTCTAAAATAGTCACCAATAACAGCTAGCTAACATCGCACAGTGGGGCAGATAAAGTTGATGTGGACAAATCAATCAGTCTTCTCGTTCTGTACCGACGTTGCTGTTAACAAGCAGTTGCTAAACTATTTAACCAATATGTGTGTTTACCAACGGAGAGAGAGCCTACACCGATACATGAGAACGTGGGAAAGGTAACCAATGATCAAACACCTGCACAAGTGAGTGTGGCCACATAGTTAACTTTATAAATAACCGCTACCCATCTTATAGGGATATGATAGCAAAGCCAACTCATTTAACCCTTCGTAGGGCTCGCTTTGAAAGTTACACGAGAGGGCGCGCCGCGGCAATTTAGCCGCAAGGTATATCTCAAAGGTTGACTGCATTCTTTGTATTTATGTCGAAAAATCATTCAAATAAAACTATGAGGTGGCTGAGGTATGCTCAGCCGCTCCAGAGTCCAGCGAAGGTCCCACTAACCCCCACCAAATAAAACACAATGACTTGTGTATTAAGTCGAACACACCCACACACACACGCGGCTATCTAGAAGGCCGGCAACTTGTCGTGCAGGGGAGAGCGGAAGGTAAAGAGCGAGAGTCGGCAGTCGGTGTCGGAGATTATCCGGCGGGTAATTGTACGGTGACGCGAGTGTTACTAGTGGCGGCGGCCCCAGTAATGAAGACAGTAGCAGCGGGCCCTGATGGCGGCAATGGTGACAGCGGCCCTGGTTGGCGATAGTTAGCGTTCGCGGTCCTCGGTGATGATGGCGGGCGGCCCACGGTTGTAGCTTCGGCCTTGGGGCGGCAGTGGTAATAGCGGCCCCGGTGATGAGAGCAGCGGTACGGGCCCTAGCGGTGATGATGATTATGGCGGCGGCCCTGGATGACAGTGAATAGCGGGCGGTCCTCGATAGAATTGTCAGTCTTGGGGCGGCAGTAATAGTAGCGGCCCCCGGTGATTAGAGCGACGGTACGGGCCCTAATGGTGGCAACGGTTATTGCGGCGGCCCTGGGTGACGGTGAATAGCGGGCGGTCCTCGGTAGAAATGTCGCCCTTAGGGCGGTAGCGGTGCTGGCGGTCCAGATTGGTGATACCTACGGACAACTGATGATTAGTACGGTCCCCCAGGGCATCGAAAAGTTGCCCAGTCCCCCCGTATGTATTAGCGGCCGCTAGGCGCTGTAGGGAGGTGGTTCCCTCCCCCCTTCAGCGCCCGCTAGCCGCGTGGTATCGCAAGCAGGCAGGGGTGTTCGGAATTGGGCAAGCCCAAACGGATCTCGCCCCCTGTCTGCTTGAGACCGTAACCAAAAATGGGTCTAGCCCATAATGGTTTTGGGGTGTTGCCTGAGGGTATTCCCCCCCTTGCAGCCCCCCTCAACCAATCAGTCTTCCTCCGAGGAGGAAAGCTAAGAGCGCCCCAAATAGGCCCGAAGCCCAGGCTGCGCTCCGTGCTTACCTACGGACAACCGATGCTGGTTGAGTTCATGCTGGCAGCTTTAGCTCTGGTTTTGTATGAACCGTTTGAGAAGTGAATGGGCTTATTTCGTGTTATGGCTTTTGCGCAGTGAACTTCTTCCATTTGTTGGTGCGCATGAGTATCCAAGTTGCTCTTTGTGAAATCCGCATGTGCTTACCATGCCAGCTTCGCGTATGCGTATGTACGCCTGTATGTATGTACATAGGGATGCTTTTAGTCTCGTTGGTATGTTAGTTTGTGTGTACGCCTACCAGTATGTATGTATGTATGTATGTTCATATATTGGTACCTATGTGCAGTTGTAAGAGGTATGCTAGGGTGATGTTGAATATGTTATTGTGGCGTAGGCAAAGCTACGTTACAGTCCCCCTCCCACTTCGGCGGACGACAAGTTGCGGTATTCTAGAGTTATGGCCTGAGGCCTGCACTACCTTAGGGCCAGCCTTAGGTATTATTTACCAGAGTACGTTGTACCCTGGCTCGGTCGGTGTGTGTGGGGCGGCCTTGGTTTTTTATTGATTATTATTCATTATTATTATCTAAAAATTTTTATTTTTTTATTTTATTATTTTTTTTTGGTTGTAATAGGTATATGTGTGTATAAGTAGGTACAAAGTTTAATTTATAATAATATGAGATTGTAATTCATGTGGGAAATGATGTAGGCGGCCATCGACATACAAACATACAAGTATGACAGTGGGGACCCGTACTAAGACTGACCGACGAATACAACACTGACAAGGATTGAACGGACCACACATACTCAACTATAGACTTCACAAGACAAACGAAGGACAGCAATACGGCAGATTGTACTTGACCGCCTTCAAGCGAAGTTGTTAAGCTAGTCGTAGCATTTAAAGTTAAAATTTATATGTAACCGTGTGTGTGCGAATAAACGTCCAGTTTTGTAAACATTAAATGCGCGTTTTAATTAAAGACTAAAAGGATTGGGAAGGCCATTCCTACAAGTGGTGTCAGAAGTGGGATAAAATCCACTCCTGTGAGTTAGCAAAACATTAAAATAAAATGTGCGTACAACTATGCAAATAAGCGTTTATACATGTATTACATATGTGTTTTGTGTGTGCCGTGCGATATGCTAGCCAAAGTTTCATTTACTGCAGTGATTTAAAAATTACATACGATCATCAAATCGCCCAATCCGTTTAGTAAACTATTTTGAGAAATTAAATTGACAAAAACGCAAGTAACTGTTCTGGTGTACTTTGAGCTAGCCACGCCACACAATCAGCTATTTTTGCCAAATATCGCCGGCAAGCGGTAAAATAAAAATTGCGACAAATAAACAAGTGCATCAAACGGTAAATACGCCAAACAGTAGTGGTTGCGTCGCTTAACAAAGCGCTAAGCAAGAAGCGCCAGCATCGGAAGAGGCGCCAGAGCCAGGCAGCGCCGAACAACAGCAGCAGCGAATAGTGTCGGCAGAAGTAGCGGCATTGTGGGCAGAGCAGCAGCATACGACAGCGAAGTCGAAGAATTGGAGACAGCGGCGAGGGATGAAACAGCGCAGTGCAGCTAAGTAGTTTTAGCGTATACATACTTACGTACATATTTACATGTTAAGGTAGTAAAAGCAATATATACACGAATTTGCTGGTTATACGAGTTAGCGCTATTTTATTCACGCCACTGGGGGTAGTTTTGTATTTGCAATTGCAATTTTTTCATTTTATGTGTACAGATTAACATGTGCGAGGGTAATGCGGTACAGTCACGTACACAATAATAGAAATAATTGAAAAAATGATTATTAGGAAATTAAATGAAACAAATAACTTGAGTATTTTGTGTATCAGTATTAAATGTATGTCTGTTAAATACCGAGAAGTTCAAACATTTTACCACATCGATTTAAATAATAGAAATTTTAATTGATAATATTGTAAGACATGGACCGTGATGAAATTTTTAGCTTGACGGTTGACGGTCTTAGGGAAAAGTTGGGCGGTTTAGGTTTGTCGACTAACGGACGGAAAGCGACGTTGCAGGACAGGCTGCTGGAACACTTCGGCCTGAATGTGCGCGACGGCGATTATACCGATTTCGATGACGCTGCAAGTAGGCGAAGCGTACGTGGGTCCGTGGCTGAGCGTCCAGCATTCACTCTTCGAGACATTGAGGCCTCGTTGTCCAAATTTAGCGGGTCTGGTCAGCCGATATTTGAGCAGTGGCTGGAGGATTTTGAGGCCAACGCAATGGCTGTGCAGTGGAGCGACCTTCAGAAATTCATCTACGCCAAGCAGTTGCTGAAGGGTGGAGCAAAACTTTTTATTAGAAGCCAAACTGGAGTTAGCAATTGGGATTCTCTAAAATCCGCTCTGCGCTCGGAGTTTGGCGTCACCATGTCGTCGCCGGAATTACACCGCGTCCTTCGGAAGCGCCACCAGCGAACAGGCGAAGATCTGCGGGAGTATCTGTATGCAATGATGGAGTTCAGCAAACCAGCCAGTCTCGATGATTCCAGCTTGATCGAGTATTTCATCGAGGGGATTTCAGATAATCGCGCGAATAAGAGCAACTTGTATCAGGCGCGAAATATCAAGGAGCTGAAGGAACAGATCAAGGTTTACGCGAAGATCCGGTCGAGCAAACCACAGACCACGAGTAGGAATTATGTAAAGCCAACGTCTTCAAACACGGATTTACGAAATTCACCGGCCTCAAGCAAAGGGTGTTTCAACTGTGGTGATCAGTCCCACGTTGCTCGAAATTGTCCACGTAAAAAGATCAGATGTTTTCAATGTGGCAACGAGGGTCATCGAGCGGGTGAGTGCAAGAGCGCTGGAAATGAAGTGAAGACCGAGAGAGCTCCAGCAAACATTATGGCGGTAAGGCAGAGCGGCCTGATTTTTAAAGACATCCATTTTAGCACTTCGAATCAGACAGTTTCGGCACTTAACGACACAGGGTCAGACCTGTGTCTAATGCGTCATGACACTTTGTTGATGCTGCAGCTGGATGCAGAGCTCAGCAAGGAGAAGCGGCGACTGGTGGGCATCGGTAACAGTGCAATAACGACAATGGGTAGTTTTACCATCCCAATGCAAGTAGATGGAATTCCGCTTGACATGTGGCAAGGGAGCGGGATTTGGACTACCCGCTGGTGATAGGCAACAATGTCCTCAAACACGTTGACCTTATCGTTACGGAAGATGGTGCCGTTTTTAAGGAGAAGGCGAGAAAG